ATGGTTTAACGAAAAAATTGGCGCCTGCGGCGGGCTCGTTTGATAATTTATGAATTTTGGCGCCTGCGGCGGGCTTCTCCAGAGTTCGCAGACTGTCGACGACCCCACCGCCCCCTCACTCTTATCCGCGTCTGCTGGATGCTACGTACAACGAGCTCGCCGCAGGCGCTGATTCTTTCGTTAAACCAATGTGGGTAGGTCGCGGCTGGGTCGCGGCTGGGTTGCGGCTGGGTCGCGGATTGGGTCGCGGGTTGGGTCGCGGGGTGGGTCGCGGGTGGGTCGCGGATGGGTCGCGGGGAGAGTCGCAGGGTGGGTCGCGGGTGGGTCGCGGGTGGGTTGGGCGGTGGGCGCGGGGGGTCGCGGGTGGGGGGGGGGGTTGGTCGCGGGGTGGGTCGCGGGTGGGATTGCGACAACATCGCAACAACGCAACAATGCAACACGCATAATCCCCAGCATTTATAGCCATTTCAGCCACGCACCCAGGGACAATGAATGACCGTTCGGCCCCCTCACTCTGGCAACGAGCCCGCCGCACGCGCCGATTCTTTTCTTAAATCTCTGTGGGTAGGTCGCGGGTGAGTCGTGGGTGGATCGCAAATGTGTCGCAAACGGGTCGCAAATGGGTCGCGGGTGGGTCGCGGGGTGGGTTGCGGGTGGGTCGCGGGGAGGGTCGCGGGGTGGGTCGCGGGTGCGGTCGGGTGGGTCGCGGGGTGGGTCACGTGGGTCGCGGGGTTGGGTGGGTCGCCGGGGCGGGGCGCGGGGTGGGTCGCGGGTGGGTCGCGGGTGGGTCGCGGGTGCATCGCGGGGTGGGTCGCGGGTGGGTCGCGGGTTGGGTCGCGGGTTGGTCGCGGGGTGGGTCGCGGGATGGGTCGTGGGGTGTGTCGCGGGGTGGGTCGCGTGTGGGACGGCAACAACAACGCAACATCGCAACAATGCAACAACGCAACAAGCAGAATCCTCACCACGGGTCACCACTTCAGCCACGTACCCAGGGACAATGAATGACCGTTCGGTCCCCTCACTCTGACAACGAGCCCGCCGCAGGCGCCGATTTTTTCGTTAAGCCAATGTGGGTAGGTCGCGGGTGAGTCGCAAATGTGTCGCGGGTGGGTCGCGGGTGGGTCGCGGGGTGGGTCGCGAGTTGGTCGCCGGGTGAGTCGCGGGTGGGTCGCGGGGTGGGTCGCGGGTGGATCGCAGGTGGGTCGCGGGGTGGGTCGCGGAGTGGGTCGCGGGTGGGTCGCGGGGTGGGTCGCGGGTGGGTCGCGGGTGTGTCGCGTGTGGGTCGCGGGGTGGGTCGCGGGGGCGTCGCGGGTTGGGTCGCGGGTGGGTCGCGGGGTGGGTCGCGGGGTGGGTCGCTGGGTGGTCGCGGGTTGGGTCGCGTGTGGGACGACAAACAACAACGACGCAACAACGCAACAAGCAGAATCCTCACCACGGATCACCACTTCAGCCACGCACCCAGGGACAATGAATGACCATTCGGCCCCCTCACTCTGATTTCATATCCTGCTGCATTTTTGCGACCAGGATCGATCTGTAATTGTCTGGGGGCCCGAAACTTGGCGAAATTGCCCGTCGCGAAAAAGATGCGACGCCAGGATCCGATCGATGCGGGTCGATATCGACTCCTGCCAGCCCTATCCGATTCGATTCGATTTCCGTCGATTCAACACAGCCCGACGCTTGCATGGTGCTGTTGTGCACCCTGGCGCGGCCGATTCGATTGCGACTCCCTGCCGATGAGGTCCGATTCGATTTACGTTCCGAAGCGATCCGATTTGTCGGTTCGATTCGACGAGATCCGACGTCTCTAAACAAGTGCAACATCGTCAGATAACGAGACTGGAGCCCTTAACAACATCTTTATAGGGCATAATCCCCCGTAGCGAGAAAAGCGACGCCCAGATTTCCTTCGGGTCGCCGTCCATCGTCGTCGTCGTCGTCTTCGTCGTCGTCGTCGTTCATCGTCGTCGTCGTCGTCGTCGTCGTCGTCCGTCGTCGTCGTCCGTCGTCGTCCGTCGTCCGTCATTCGTCGTTCGTCGTTCGTCGTCCATTGTCGTCGTCGTCGTCGCCGCCGTCGTCGCCGTCGTCGTCGTCCGTCGTCGTCCGTCGTCGCCGTCGGTCGTCGTCGTCCGTCGTCGTCCGTCGTTGTCGTCGTCGTCGTCGTCGTTGTCGTACTCGCCGTCGTCGTCCTCGTCGTCGTCGTTGTCGTCATCCGTCCGTCGTCGTCCGTCGTCGTCGTAGTCGCCGTCGTCGTCGTCGCCGTCGCCGTCGTCGTCCGTCGTCGTCGTCCGTCCGTCGTCCGTCGTCGTCGTCGTCGTCCGTCCTCAGTCGTCCGTCGTCCGTCGTGCGTCGTCCTCGTCGTCGCCGTCGTCGTCGTCCGTCGTTCGTCGTCCGTCATCCGTCGTCCGTCGTCGTCGTCGTCGTCGTCCGTCGTCGTCGTCCGTCGTCGCCGTCGGTCGTCGTCCGTCATCCGTCGTCGTCGTCGTCGTCGTCGTCGTCGTCGTCGTCGTCGTCGTCGTCCGTCGTCCGTCGTCGCCGTCGCCGTCGCCGTCGCCGCCGTCGCCGTCGCCGTCGCCGTCGCCGTCCCCGTCGCCGTCGCCGTCGCCGACGCCGTCGTCGTCGTCGGCGTCGTCATCCGTCCGTCGTCGTCCGTCGTCGTCGTCGTCGCCGTCGTCGTCGTCGTCGTCGTCGTTGTCGTCTTCGTCGTCGTTGGTTGGGACAGCTCGCGTCCAAGGCGGGTTGCCCCCTCAGGATGCGTTCCGATTTGATAGATCCGACTCAGCTCCGATCAAATCGAATCTGCAACCCTACCGATTCGACCTGGTTCTCCGATCCGACCTCTTCGGGTCCGGCTTCCTCGGACTTGGACACACCGACTCGATGGGATTCCGCTTCGGCTTCGCGCGCGCACAAGCCGCAGAGCACATGCTCCGAGGCGGGAATCTATACATGACCACCGCCTGGAGGATCAATGTTGATATGGATATATTCGGGCCCCCGGGGCCAATATGTATATATATATATATATATATCCATATCCACCGCCCGCTGGGGTGCGGATATGGATATATGATGAGACACCTCGAGACACCTAGTGTAGAAACACCTCGAGTGTCCTAGGGACGGATATATCATGGGACACCTTGATCTGGATATATGATGGGACACCTCGAGACACTAATCAAGCCTATAGTCGATGATGGGGCCAAGATATATCCATATCCACCGCCCTGGGAACGCTGGTTCCCAGGCGGTGGATCTGGATAAATCCCCGCCTCGCACGTGCCCGCCGGCCCGCGCGCACAGGCCTGCCGGCCCGCCGCGGGCGAGCCCTTCCTGGCCGCGGCGGGGTCGGGCAGCGCCAGGGCGCTCGCCGCCGCGCCCCCCCCCGCCGCGCCGCGCCGCGGAAGCGCGCGAGCGCCGCTCACGTATCCCCTGGAGGGGGAGGAGGAGGAGGAGGAGGAGGAGGAGGAGGAGGAGGAGGAGGAGGAGGAGGAGGAGGAGGAGAGGAGAGGGAGGAGGAGGGGGAGGGGGAGGGGGAGGTTGAGGGGCAGGGGGAGGGGGAGGGGAAGGGGGAGGAGGAGGAGGAGGCGGAGGAGGAGGAGGAGGAGGAGGAGGAGGAGGAGGAGGAGGCAAAGGTACCCATACCGCTACCCTTCCCTCGTCGCCACCGCTGGATTCGCTTCGAAATCCTGGTCAGAAGGCGCCCCGGGAGAGGTCCTTGGAGTGGCGGTATCGGTACTTTCTGTTTTCCCTGATATAGACTGAAACGATCAGTCGGACCGAGGCATAATGTCGAGGTCGGCTCGGGAATGGTACCGTAATGTTCTTCGTGTTTTGGGGAGGGTATCTTAGAATGTTCTTCAGTTTGGGCCGGTGGAGGGTTTCATATCCTTGAAGGATGTTCCTCTGGCCTAGGTCCGACTGTATGATGATATTGTTTCTGTTGATTCTTAGTCGTCACCTTCGCAATCACGCACCACACGTTGTGCGCCAGTCTGTATCTGAGATGTCTATACGCATGTATAGACTCTTATCTGTAGCTCAGCCCGCTTTGAGCACCGGCCTAAAGCTTGAGCCCCGTGCCCGTCAAGCGCACGAGCGTCGCTCCTTTTCCTGCAAATTGGGGCCTTAATGGGGGTCAGGAAAGGGAAAGCTCAATTCCCTAGAATTTCCTGGCTCGATGCTGCGCTTGTGCTAAAAAGTAGCAGGTCCGAAGCTTTTCCTCGCCAATTACTTGTGGAATTCTTCGCTTCGGCAGCACCTCTGTCAGAAAACCTGTGCTCGTTCATTTGGCCTTGGCTGTCTCTGACCCCAAGAAGTCTAACCCCCAGCAGCCAGCGAATGAATCATCCCACATGCGCCCCCAGCCCGAGGCTGCAGCAGGAGGAAGGGTAGAAGGAGGTCGAGGAGTCTCCTCGTCACCTTCGGCGCCCCCTCCCTCGTCGCCCGCGTCGCCCTCCTCCCTCACCCTCGACGAGCCTCGTCGCCCTCCTCCGACCGATTCTTTCCACACCGTGAGGGAGAGGAGGAGGAGGAGGAGGAGGAGGAGGAGGAGGAGGAGGAGGCGGAGAGGAGAGGAGGAGGAGGAGGAGGAGGAAAGAAGAGGAGTGAGGAGGCGGAGGAGGAGGTAGGAGGAGGGGGAGTGTTGCTGGCGGGGGCATGTTGGGAGGTAGTCAGCCCCTCGTGCCACTTTCCCAGACACCCGGGAGGTCTCTCGTGGGGGCTACGAGGTCCGCCGTTCCCCCTTCGCCTCGCTGCGCGCCGCGGCCCGCCGCCAGCTTCCTCCTCCTTCCTCCTCCTCCCCTCCTACCCTCCTCATCCTCCCCCCTCCTTCCCCCTCATCCTCCTCCTCCTCCTTCTTCTCCTCTCCTCCTTCTCCTCCTCTCCTTCCTTCCCTCCTCCTCCTCCTCCTCCTCCTCCTCCTCCTCCTCCCGCCCTCCTACTCCTCCTCCTCCTCCTCCTCCTCCTCCTCCTCCCGCCGCCTCGGCTCGGACAGGCGCGGGGGGGGCTCTGCTCCCATGCGTCCTGCCGCGGCCGCCGCTGTCGACCACGGCGCCGCCGAGCCTGGCCCTGGCACGGCGAGGAGAGCACAGGCGCTTCGGGGTGGCGCGCGAGGAGGAGGAGGGGGAGGAGTTGGGAGGACGAAGAGGAGTTGGAGGAGGTGCAGGAGGAGGAGGAGGAGGAGGAGGAGGAGGAGGAGGAGGAGGAGGAGGAGGAGGAGGAGGAGGAGAGGGAGAGGGAGAGGGAGAGGGAGAGGGAGAGGAGGAGGAGCCCTCCCCAGACCCCTTAAGCGCCGTGGAGAGATCGTGACGGGAGGGTTCTTGTTCGGGCGGGGCTGGGACGAGGGCAGCTCCGTTCCAGAGCGGTCCGGAACACTTTCAGAGCGCAGCTCTGGAAGGCTTTGAGGAGGTCGCGGCGCACGATGCATCATCCAGAGCCGCGGGATCTCAGATTTTCGACCTCCGGGGGCCCTCGTCAGACCCCAGGACCTTCAAACATAGCTTCGGTATGAAACGCCAGCTTTGCGGAGAGGGTCCTGATTTCTGGGGGGGCCCATGTTGGGAAAATCTAGATGTCGCATGTCTGGGTGGGGGGGATTCGCTTGTCTGATCCTGGCGTTTTCCTTCGACTTCGAACTCCGGGGATCGTTTTCGGGCCCAGGGACAATCGAAAATGGAGCGGAAGCGGAGAACTGCCCATGGGAGGTGGGGCCTCGAGGATGCGAGGGCTTCTAAGGCCTCTCGAGGGTGCTCGAGGGCTTTGGATTCACCTAGAACCTGGAGACTCCCGGGGACCTCCCAGAGGCCTTCGTCGTCGTTGTGAGATCCTCGTCGTCGGCGCCGTCATGGCCGAGAAGGATCGAGGGCGGCTTGTTGGACGTTGGACGTCGTGGGCGATCTGGGCGTCACATTTTTCCACCCCCGGCGGTGCCGCCACAGTTCTAAGTCGGGCCTGTCCCTCTACACGAGGAATGTTCAAAGATAGAAAACAAATCGTCGGGGGACTATTTTTTAAATATTGTTTTTGAGCATTATAGGGTATTTGTTTGTATTTCAGGGCACTTGTGAAGGACTTTCCATCTTTTGAGCATGCTCTGAACATTTTAGGGTACTTTGGGGGTATTTTAAATTTAATCGCTTCGCTCGTGCCGCCGGCCCTGGAGCCCTCTTTAGGGCCTCTTGGGGGCCTCTTGGGGACCTCTTGGGAGTCTCTTGGGGCTCCTTGGCGGCGTTTTGGAGGCGTACTTTGGGGGTATTTTAAATTTTTCCCTCAAAATCTTCCTGTACGACGACAGGCCCGACTGGACCATGGTGCCGGCCCCGCGGCCCTCGCAGATCGAGCAGGGCTCGGGGCGCGTAGCGGCACGAGGAGGTCTTAGGAGGGTCTTTTTGTTCGGGCTCCGCTCTCGCAGCTTCCAGAAGGGGTGCCCTTTCTTCAGGAGCGACAATAGGACGTACACGTACATGAATCCACGCTGGTTTCGAGAGTACGCATTGCGCAAATGTTCGTATAACGCGGCCGGTCTCGCGGATCGAGGGGCCGTGTTCATGTACATAGCTGGGCGCGTACGTCCTTTGTGGGCTCCCTATTTCTGTTCGCGAGCTGCCCTTATGTCGTTCCCATCCTACTGAAGGACCGCATCCCAGAAATCATGTCGAGCACCCAGAAAAGTGTCGAAAGAGTGTCGACACAGTGTCGGGCGAGTGTCTCCCAGGGCCCGGCACGTGAAAACCATGGAGTTTCGGTATTTTTTGGGGGGGGGCTCGAAATTCTTTCTGGCGGTCAAGGCTAAAGTAGGTTGGAACATCATGAAGGTACGCATGGTTCACTTCTAATTCTTCGAAGGTTCTTGAATTTTTGGGGGGGCCAAGATCCTTTCACTCCGAACTGCTCTGTCCTGGGCCTCTCCCTGGCCACGAGGGGGCCAGGAGCAATGAGAAACGAGCACAGTCAGAAATGAGCACGACTAGACGTGAACGACGTGCAGCCCTGGCTCCGGATCCGCCGTACTCTCTGGGCGATGTCGCCGGCGTGGCGGGGATCTCCGCCCCGGCTCTCACGCCGCCTCGGCGCCGCCGCCCGCCCCAGGGGGTGCCGTCGCTGTCTCCGTTCTCTTGTTGCGGAGAGGAGGAGGAGGAGGCGGAGGAGGATCGAGGAGGAGGACGAGGAGGAGGAGGCGGAGGAGGAGGAGGAGGACGAGGAGGAGGGCGAGGAGGAGGAGGAGAGAGGAGGAGGAGGAAGGAGGAGGGGAGGAGGAGGGGAGGAGGAGGCGGAGGAGGAGGAGGAGGCGGAGGAGGGAGGAGGGAGGGAGGAGGAGGAGGAGGAGGAGGAGGAGGAGGAGGAGAGGAGGAGGAGGAGGAGGAGGGGGAGCTGAGCCTTCCTGTTCTGCGGAGGGGGCCAGGGCGAGGACGGGGCCAGGGCGAGGACGAGTCCGCTCCAGGAGGGCTCCTACGATGGGCCTTCCTGTTCTGCGGACGGGGCCGGGGCGAGGACGAATCCCAGACCTCCTCGCGTCCTGAAAAAATCACGACGGGAGGTTGTTCGCCATTTTCGGCCTCCGGGGGCCCTTCCCGGGCCTCGGGACCGTCAACAAAACGACTCAGGACGAAAAACCGGTCCCGGGGAAGGGGTCTGGACCTCTGGGGGTCGCGTCATGAAAAAATCATGACGTCGGGGGTCTGGGATCCGTTCCAGAGCGCTTCGCAACGCTCTCGGAGCGTTCCCGAACGCGCTGCGAAGGCCGCGGCGCACGAGGCATCCTCCAGAGCCGCCGGTGGGCCGTGGCCCAGACCCCCTCGCACTGTGAGCAAAATCGCGGCGAGAGGTTCTTCGCTGGTTTCAGCCTCCAGGGGCTAACTATTCGGCCTCGGGACCGTCAACAAAACGACTTGGGATGAAACGCCGGTCCCAGGGAGGGGGTCCAGGCCTCCGGGTGGCGACGTTGTGAAGAAGTCACGACGCTGCTCGATCCCCCTCGCTTGTTTGGTCTCCCCTACGACGACGAAGATTCCTCACCGCCCCACCAGACCACCCCAGCCCATCCCGAAGGCCCCGATTTGCCTTCCATTTCCGGTGGGGATTGAAAAAACGCATATGAATTCGTACCCCCTCCAACCCGAAACTCGGGCGAAATTCGGGTCCTCGGGTTGGGTTGGGGTGGTCTGGTAGGCAGCCATCCGAGGAGGCTGGCGTGCGTCAGTCTGGGTTGGGCCAGCATCGCGTCGAAGAGTCTCTGACACGCCGATTGGGTCGGCGGAGTCTCCAGTCGACTTGCGCAAGATCAGCCAGAGTATTCAGGAGGGGGGAAAAAAAACGACACAATGAATCGTCGATTCCCCAGAAGATATGGGAAGATATGGGAAGGAGAATATGGAACATACGGGGAATCCTGGGATTTGTGTGTATTTATTTAATCGCTTCGCTCATGCCGCCGGCCCTGGAGCCCTCTTTAGGGCCTCTTGGGGGCCTCTTGGGGACCTCTTGGGAGTCTCTTGGGGCTCCTTGGCGGCGTTTTGGAGGCCCCCAGGGCCTCTTGGGGGGCTCTTGGGGGTAGTCGATTGCGGCTCCCCCCTCGGAGGCCACGATCCTCGTGAGGGGTGTCGAAAAATACCCTCCCCTGGAGTGGTCTGGTGGCTTCTCCCGGGCTTCTCTCGGGACCTTGCCGGGGTACTTTTCGTCCGGGGGCCTCCAGGGGCCGCTCCGCGCGCGCGAACTAGAAATATTGTTAACAAGTTACCGGAGATCTTAGCACGCCTCTGGCCCGTTGGGCCGGCGAATTTGTGTGTCCCTGGGCCCCCCTCAAGTACGGCGGATCCGAAGTCAAGGCTTACGATGTTCCGACCTACTTTAGCGCTGACCAGCGCCAAGAAGAACCCAACATGACGGGTTTTCACGCGTGGGACCCTGGGGTGCGATATACTCGCTCCACGCCTCGCCGGCGCGTCGGGCAGGCACGGTCTCGATACTATTTCTGGTGAGCAGCCCTGTTGTTGCGATGTGGCCCTCGAGTGCGGTGGCAACGGCAGCAGTCGCGGCGGCTCTCAGGGCCGTGGGCGCGGCTGCGCGCAGCTCGAGGAGCCGGCCGAGGCGGGCCCCGGGAGCGATCGCAGGGGAGGCCCAGGAGACCCAGTCTGCCAGAGCATGTTCCTCCTCCTCCTCCTCCTCCTCCTCCTCCTCCTCCTCCTCCTCCTCCTCCTCCTCCTCCTCCTCCCCCTCCTCCCCCCCCTCCTCCTCCTCCTCCTCCTCCTCCTCCTCCCCCTCCCTCCTCCTCCTCCCCCTCCTCCCCCCCTCCTCCTCCTCCTCCTCTCCTCCCCTCCTCCTCCTCCTCCTCCTCCCCTCCTCCTCCCCCCTCCTCTCCTCCATCCTCCTCCTCCTCCCTCCTCCTCCTCCTCCTCCCCCTCCTCCTCCTCCTCCTCCTCCTCCTCCTCCTCCTCCTCCCTCCTACCCCCCTCCTCCTCCTCCTCCTCCTCCCCCTCCTCCCCCTCCTCCTCCTCCCCCTCCTCCTCCTCCTCCTCCCCCTCCTCCTCCTCCTCCTGCCAGGGGCGCAGGCCGCGTGCGGCGGCCCTCGCCCGACTTCGGACCCGCTGCACTGTGGCTGAGCCTCCGACGTCGAGTTGCGTCCGAGAGGCGCCCAGACCGACGCGGGAGGGCAGGGCGGAGGTTCGGAGGGCACCAACCATACACCAACACCGATCCCAGACCTCCTCGCGTCCTTGAAAAATCACGACGGGAGGTTTTTCGCCATTTTCGGCCTCCGGGGGCCCTTCCCGGGCCTCGGGACCGTCAAAAAACGACTCAGGACGAAAAACCGGTCCGGAGGAAAGGATCCAGACCTCTGGGGGTCGACGTCTTGAAAAAATCACGACGTCGGGGGTCTGGGATCCTGGCCCAGGATCACCCTGGGCCCAGGATCGGTGTATATGCCTTCTTGCGCAAGGCAGGAGGGCGCATGCACCGATCCTGGGCCCAGGGTGATCCTGGGCCAGGATCGGTGTTGGTGTATAGTTGGTGCCTTCCTAGAGGTTTCCCCCTCGAGAGGTAGGGCCGATGTTTCCCGCAAGGGCGCAGCGGAGACAGCGACGGCAGAGCAGGGCGGAGATCGGCATCAAGATGGCGTGAAACGTGGGGCGGAAGTTTCCGCCCCTTTGACGACACCCCCCAGCCCACAGTACGGTGGATCCGGAGTCAGGGTCTGGCGCCGCTAGGACGGCACCCGGCCTCTCAGAAGCCCTCATTGCGTTCCCACGCAGCTCGACCTCTGGCCGACGACATGATTGCCTCAATTCCGGTGGTTTTCTGGCCTCTCTGAGGCCGCTATCTTTTGGTAGACAGCCGAGAACAAGTTTTGACACTGTTGGGAATTGTTGACGCTTCGCGTATCCCCACCAGCCCATCCGGAAACCATGCCCAGGGGAGTTGAGGTGATCAGGGAAGTCGGGGAGCATGCAGAATAACAAAGGGCGGGGAACTGTCACATACCCCGAGAGGGGGAGGATGGAAGAGGAATCGTCGTCGGAGGAAGAGGAGGAGGAGGAAGGGGACGAGGAGGAGGAGGAGGAGGATGATAATGAGGAGGATATAGAGTAGGGCGAGGACGAGGAGGACGAGAAGGAGGAGAAGGAGCAGAGGGAGGAGAAGGAGGAGAAGGAGGAGGAGGAAGAGGTGGATGAGAAATTGAAGAGGACGGCGAACCGAAGAGACAGAAGCGTCTTAAATGCATTTCGGAGATCCTCTTGAGGCTTCTTAGGGTTCTCTGGGAAGCCTCTTGGAGGTCTCTTGGGCGCTTCTTGGGGCCTCTTGGAACCATCTTGGGGCGGTCTTGGGGCCTCTTGGAACCATCTTAGGAACCATCTCGAGCGATCTTGCGCTATCTTGAGCCATCTTGGAGCTCATCTTGGGCTCTCCGAGGCGCTCTTGGAGCCGTCTTGGGCGAAAAAGCACCGTCTGACACCTCGCGCCGTAAAAGTCGAGAAGCCCATCGAGTGACGATAACCCTACGAGTTGCCCTGATCAAAGAAGTGGCGGAGCATGTGGAGAAACAAAAGGCCGGAGAAACCGTCAAGCCCCAAGAGGACGAAGGAAGAGGAATCGGAGCAGGAGGAGGAGAAGAAGGAGCCTTTTGGGGGTTTGTTGAGAGGCTATTGGGCGCTTCTTGGGGCGTCCTGAGCGCGTCTTGGGGCGCTCTTGGAGCGCTATGGGGAGCCTTCGGGGCGCTTTTGGGGCCATCTTGGAGGGAGTCGATCAAACAAGAGGGGGGGTTTAATTAGCGCCCCCCCTCGGAAGCCCCTAAAATCGCCTCTTGGACCCCTCTTGGAACGCTCTTGGAGTGCTCTTGGGCGCTCTTGGGGCCGTCTTGGGGCTCTTTTGGGGCTCTCTTGGGGCCCTCTTGGGCCATCTTGGAGCCATCTCCAGGCCTCGGATGGCCATCGGAAGCGAAAAGGCGAGAAAGCAAAAATCATTGATTTTCCTTAGGTTTTGGGACGATTTTGGCCTCTTCGGGGCCTCCTTGGGGAGCTGTTTGGCCACTTGGAGTTATCTTGGGGCCGTCTTTGGGCTTCTTGGAACCATCTTAGGAGCCATCTCGAGCGATCTTGCGCTATCTTGAGCCATCTTGGAGCTCATCTTGGGTTCTCTGAGGCGCTCTTGGAGCCGTCTTGGGCCATCTGGGACGCTCTAACTACCCGCGGCCCCCCCCTTCCAGGTCCAGGGGAGGGGGTAGGGGGAGGGGTAAACCCCTCCCCAAGGGGGAAGAGGGAGGGGTGGAAGAGGATCTGCTCTAGACCACCTACGCCCAGAGGGCTGGTGGGATTCGGAGCTTCCCGTCGAGGCGCCGCGCACACAGTATCACTTAGTATCTGTTCTTCAGACATCGACGATTTTAGATGTTGTTTGTGCTTCCGCTGAGGCCCTGTGATGTTCGAATCGGAGGTGAGGGGGTGAGATCGAAGTGGAACGGAGAGCCCCCCTACCGGGAAATCGATTTCGGTTTCGTGTTCGTGCGTGCCGTGCGGGCGAGGCGAAGCTGCGTGGGCGGGCGAGAGGGAAGTCTCCTGTGGCTGAGGCGCGGCCGGACCAAATGTCTCCCTTCCGGGCGGCCGGGGGCCCGCGATGTCCCGCCGGTGTCCCGTTGGTGTCCCGTGTGGCTGAGGCGCGGCCGCACCAAATGACTCCCTTCCGGGCGGCCGGGGGCCCGCGGTGTCCCGCCGGTGTCCCGCTGGTGTCCCGCGGTGTCCCGCGGTGTCCCGCGGTGCCCCGCGGTGTCCCGCCGGTGTCCCGCGGTGTCCCGCGATGATGATGATGATGATGATGATGATGATGATGATGATGATGATGATGATGATGATGCTGATGCTGATGATGCTGCTGATGCTGATGATGATGATGATGATGATGATGATGCTGCTGATGATGATGATGATGATGATGATGATGATGATGATGATGATGATGATGATGATGATGATGATGATGATGATGATGATGATGATGATGGCGATGGTGGTGGTGGTGATGATGATGCTGCTGATGATGATGAGGACGATGATGATGATGATGATGATGGTGATGCTGATGATGATGATGACGATGAGGACGATGATCATGATTATAATGATGATGATGATGATGATGATGATGATGATGATGATGATGATGATATGATGATGATGGTGTCCCGATGATGATGGTGATGATGATGATGGCGATGATAATGATGATGATGATGACGATGATGATGATGCTGATGGTGTCCCGATGATGATGATGATGATGATGATCATGATGATTATGTTGATGATCATGATGATGACGATGATGGTGTCCCGATGATGATGAGTATGATGATGTTGATGTTGATGATGCTGATTATGATTGTGTCCCGATGATGATGGTGGTGATGATGATGATGTTGATGATGATTATGGCGTCCCGATGATGATGATTTTTCTGATGGTGTTGATGATGATGATGTTGATGATGATGGCGTCCCGATGGTGTTGATGTTGATGATGTTGATGCTGATGTTGGTAATGATGATGATGGTGCCCCGATGATGACGATGATAATGGTGATGTTGATGATGCTGATGATGATGATGTCGATGATGAGGATGAGATGATGATGATGATGGTGTCCCGATGATGATGATGATGATGATGATGATGATGATGATGATGATGATGATAACGATGGTGATCATGATGGTGCCCCGATGATGATACTGCTGCTGATGATGATGACGATGACTGTGTCCCGATGCTGCTGATGATGATGATGATGATGTTGATGATGATGCTGATGATGATTGTGATGATGGTGATGATGATGATGATGATGGTGGTGTCCCGATGATGTTGATGACCGTGATGATGATGATGATGATGATGATGATGATGATGATGATGATGATGTTGGTGTTGATGATGAGGACGGTGTCCCGATTATGATGATGTTGGTTATGATGATGTTGATGTTGATGTTGTTGATGATGATGATGATGACGTTGATTGTGATAGCGGTTGTGATATCGCTAGTGAGATCGATAGTGAGACCGAATGTGACATCGATTGTGAGATCGATTGTGAGATTGATAGTCAGATTAATTGTGAGATAGATCGTGTGAGATCGATTGTGAGATCGATCGAGGGAGATCGATCGAGCGAGACCGATACTGAGATCGATAGTGAGATCGATAGTGAGACCGATCGAGTGAGACGTTGGTTCCTCCCCCCCCGAACCTCCTTATCACCGGAAGGGTGGTCGTATAGGCATTATGTATACATATGTCTCTCTTAATATGTATGTATATCGGAGGTGAGGGGGTGAGATCGAAGTGGAACGGAGAGCCCCCCTACCGGGAAATCGATTTCGGTTTCGTGTTCGTGCGTGCCGTGCGTGCGGGCGAGGCGAAGCTGCGTGGGCGGGCGAGAAGGAAGTCTCCTGTGGCTGAGGCGCGGCCGGACCAAATGTCTCCCTTCCGGGCGGCCGGTGGCCCGCGGTGTCCCGCCGGTGTCCCGCGGTGTCCCACGGTGTCCCGCGGTGCCCCGCGGTGTCCCGCCGGTGTCCCGCGGTGTCCCGCGATGATGATG